TACGGGGTAAGCCTACTGAGGCCTCCGTGGAAGCCAGGATTCATGAATATGGAGAACTGGATGCCAAAGATTATATTCCAGGGGCAGAAGTACTGGATGTTGAGGTTCAAAAGGAAAATGGAGGAAACCAAGAGGAAGGTTGGTTGGCTTTTTTTTCTTTACTACTTCTACTTTGAGCATCATTGTGACTAAGTTTTTGTTTGGACGTAAATGATGTTTGTGCATTTAATTTCCTGCTGTAGCATGCTGTGTGGCTTCCAAATGCCTTTATTTGTCCATTGAGAGGTGTTGATATTATCCTAGAGTAAGTGCAGTTTATCCAGTGAAGTTTGTTACTGTGTTGCTTTGTAAAACAGACACTGAGAGATGGAAAGGCAGAGGGAGGAACATCGTACAGCTATGGAAATTCATGTGTTCAGCACTTCCTAAAGAAAGATTTTTGTTGTGTGTTACAAAATGTGAAATTAGTACTTTCAAATAGTATTTGATAGATAAGGAGTGCAAGCTCGGGATGCAATCTGAAATAATTTAAACTTGGGCAGTTAAGCTAGATCTATGTTAACATCTCTGTGTGCTTCTTCCCTGAGCAGATGGATGGGAAAGTGCTAGTCTGAGTGAGGAGGAGGATAATGAAGATGGAGAATGGATTGACGTGCATCACTCTTCAGATGAGGAGCAGCAAGAAGTAGTGAGTTCCAAGTGTCTTCTACCCCAAATACAAATGAGCCTTGTTAATTGCAAACCAGATTCTCTTGCTCTGTACCTTCACGTGGCTGCTATACAGGGCTGTAGAGTAACTGGGCCAGAATCCGAGAGGGTTAAGTACTATTTAACACCTGTGCTGAAATATGCATGTTGTCAGGGTGGGGTGGAGAGATGAGAGACTCTGTCCCAATGTTAAATTCCATCAAAGCTAAGGCATTTCTATGATGAGTGCTTATATTCACTTGTTTTATTCACTTTCCAATGGTACTGCCCCTACAAAGGTATTTGGGAAGCAAGAATTGTGGATTATGGCACAGAAATGGTTTGCAAAGCTCTGGGTAATTACTCTTTTGTACTTTTCCTGATAGGCAGAGAAGGTGAAAAGCATGCCTGTAGAGGAACGAAAAGCCAAAGCTGCAGCAGTCAGTACAAGCAGGCTGCTCACTCAAGAGGACTTCCACAAAATACGTCTTGCCCAGCTCTCCAAAGAACTTAATTCTGCACCTGGCAAAGGTGCAAAGAGGAAGAATATCGAAATAGATGATGAAGAGGAGGAGGGCAGGTAGGATATAGAGTACTGGTGTGTGCTTTCTCTAATCTGTAATCTGGCAATAGAGCTTTTAATTGCAGCAGGCTGCACAGCTCTGCTCTTGGTCAGTGTTTTCCCTTGGTGATGGGTGGCAAACAGCCACGCAGCCTGGAAGGGCCTTGCGGCCCTGGGATCTGTTTATACTTGGGAGAAAAGACAGGAGGGATGAGGGAAAGTATGGGAGTATTTTGCTTGTGCAGACCACCAGGCGTGGCTTTTTCTAGCAGTAGTTGCATGGTTATATTAACAGAGTTTCTTAAACTTTGTGGTTAAAGCAGGACTTGAAAAACAGTAATGAGAGACCTTTGTAAGGGTTGTCCCAAGCAGGAGGATGAGCCTGAGAGAACAAGTGCTTGTGTGAAAATTGTATAGGTGGGAGACAAAGGGTCAGGAGAGCATCTTGTTTTTCTTAGCAGATTAAGTTTTGCGTGATGGCCTTTTGTTGGATTTTTCTGTGTAGGGGAGAGTTGCTTTCACTCAGAGATATTGAACATCTGCATAAGAAGCCTAAATCGGACAAGGAGACCAGACTGGCAACTGCAATGGTGAGGAACTTGCCTATTTCATATCTTTTGTCTTTCTGTACTTGGGCTGTGGCTTTGTCTCCTGCAGAAGAAAGGGGTGGTGGGGTTGAATCTGTAAGACGGGTGCCCAGCTGCCATCTGTGTTTTGAGGAATGGTTTACGTAGTTTTTTGCTGTTGCCTCTTGGCTATAACAGGTTGACAGTCTCTTGCTGATCACAGGTGACAATGAAAATGCCAAGACAGGCACATGCAGTTTTCACTGTGACTTAATAAATACAGCCAGCATGGAATAATGCATGTAACATACACAGAAAATCATACAGGACTTGGATTTATTGTTGCTGCCATAGAACCCATCACCTTAGCAGGCGATGTTAACTGTAAGGAAAGGAAAATGGTTCTCTGTTTTTACATTGCGTTGTCTGTTCTAGGCTGGAAAAACAGACAGAAAAGAATTTGTGAAAAAGAAAACAAGAATTAATCCATTTGCCAGCTCTTCCAACAAAGAAAAGAAGAAGCACAAGAACTTCATGATGATGAGATACAGCCACAGCGTCCGGACAAAAAATAAGCGTTCTTTCAGGGAAAAACAGGTAATATCTGATGTTGAGAATAGCTGGGGCAGTCTGAGCAGTAAACTTAAAATGCAGGTGAAGTGCTGTCTATCCTGTGGCCTAAGACTTTGCTGTTTAATTTGATGGTTTAATTGCTGGAAAGGAGCATGGGCTAGGTGGCTTCCCTTGAATCCTACCCCGAGGAGGTTTGTCAGATTGTGGTAGTGAAGAATGCTTTTGTCAGCCTCTTCGTTAGTAGGCATTGAGGACCAAGCCCTGTTGTGAAGTCATGTGTAGGTCAGGAAGGCGATGATAATGTGGTTTTATATAAATTAAAGCAGATTGTATTAGAACCCTGACTGTAATCCTGTGAGAGAAGAAATGCCTCCCTGATACGGAGGAGTTGTTTTTCAGGACAAGCTTTTAGTGTGTCTCTTCACTTTCCATATTCTTTCTTGGACCTTTCTCCTATTACCATCATGTTATGGACTCAGCTGTCCTGGCCTTGAGGACATCTAATAGCTTGTCATAAATGTACTTAAAGCACAGACATGAAAGCTCTTTACCTATTTGAAAAAGGCTTCAGTGTAGCCTGTGGCAGCTGGTACCAAAGCACTGGTGTGGTAGATTGCCTTGCCCTGCTGTGTTTCAACTCTGCAGGTGACTCTGTGCTGACAAGAGGAATCTGCCTAAAAATCCTTCTGTCTAACCTGGCAGATGGTCAGTCCAGGGTGTTACAAAATTCAAACTCCTTTGAACACGTCCCAGTAAGAACTTCTAGAATAATCCAGTTACCCAGGGTTTTTGTTTCAGGGTAGTGTTAACTTTTTTGTATTTTCTTGCTAGGTTTTGTGTTGTGCTAGGGTGCATTCGAATGCTTCTTGTACAAACCCTCCTTTGTGAGTTGTTTCCAAGGGCTGTGTCAGCAGAATAATGTATATTTGTCTGCAATTTATTGCCTTAAGAGCAGCAAGACTGAAACTGTTTATAGACTCGATAAAGTGTCTGAAGTGTTTCTGTAAAGCAGGCAGACATGGGCTTATATCCTCTGTAGTATTTTATTTACTGTCATTCTGACTCACCCAAAATAAGGCTGACCACATGAATCCACCTCTCAAAACACACACAAACACAGCAAATGAACAATCCAGGCACTTTTGGGAAACTGCTGTTTAAAATAATTCCTCACTCACTTTTTTCTAAAAAGCCATCTTAAATGTAACAGCTAAACAGGGAAAGATGATTTTTTTTTCCTACTCTTTTTTTTTTTCCACTAAAGTTAGGCCACAGCCATGGTTCTGACCATGAAGTGAATTAGAGTACCATTGTAGGATACTGTGTTCTGCTGCCCTCTTTGGTGGCAGAATAAAATGGACTGCTGTCTGTAGTTTAGAGCTAAATTCCCTTTACCAACTAAACCATCCCTGAAATACACAATGAAGTCTCTTTGAAGTGATATGGCACTTGTAAAAATTCTAGCATCCTTCCTGCCCCCTCCCTCCTCCTTGGAAAGCAGCTTTGCGATACTCTTTAAAACATGCCATTTTGTCCTACTTACCTCTCAGCTGGACTGAAGCTGTTTCTTGATCTCTTCTCATTTGAATATGAGTCAGTGAAAGAAAGGTTTGTTACTCAATCTATTTGTTATGGATTCTGCTGATTGTGTACTGAAACCTTTTGACTTCTGTTTTTATTTAATCCCCACTCTTCCCTTGATTGTACCAACAAGTTTATCTAAGTAACCACAACATTTCTGCCGCTGTAGTTGACAACGTTTGCCAGCTCCTGCTCCCAGTGTCAGCTGATGAGTGTTTGTCTCTGAGGCTGAAGAAATTGCTTCAGGAATTTTTCTTAGTAATGTGCTTAATCATTAAAAATAGATTAATGGGACTGAAAACCAAGTAGATCTTTCTGACTAAGTTCTACCCAAAGCTCTTAATGTTAGAGTTGAAAACATTGTTCTACTCCTGTTTTCTGTAGAAATGTATGGAAACTATACCAGTTGCATCCTGATATTTTATTACTTTGCAGCCTCTTGCATCAGATTCAGTTTGTCTGCATTCACAGATGTGTTTGAGTGGCTTTTAAACTTGAGTACAAATAGGCATCAAACAGCAGCAGGAAAGATTAATGGGACTGAAAACCAAGTAGATCTTTCTGACTAAGTTCTACCCAAAGCTCTTAATGTTAGAGTTGAAAACACTGTTCTACTCCTGTTTTCTGTAGAAATGTATGGAAACTATACCAGTTGCATCCTGATATTTTATTACTTTGCAGCTTCTTGCATCAGATTGTTTGTCTGCATTCACAGATGTGTTTGAGTGGCTTTTAAACTTGAGTACAAATAGGCATCAAACAGCAGCAGGAAAAACCTGAGCATGGCCAGATCTTCTCTTCCTGATCTGCTGCCTACTCTGTCCTATTACCATTATGCTTTTAAGCTACTTTGGGTTCATTTTCCTTCTCGCATTTGCACCTTACCTGCAGTATATGAAAGCTTTGTTGCAAATGATGCAAGCTGCTAGCTGTAGTTTTCTCTAAGAAAATTCGGTCTATTTAACAAATATTCTATGCATTATTTTAAATAACTTGTAATTTTTAGTTCTGGTGCAGTGATCTTATCTACAAATGTGTCCGGTTAGTAAAATAGCAGTGGGATACATGCGTGTGGTGGGTATACAGAAAAGGGTTGTTGATGTGATAGTGGTGGTGTCTCCTTATTTAATATTCCCCTTACCTGAATATTCCGTTCTTGTTCCGTATTTAGCTGGCTCTTCGCGATGCACTTCTGAAAAAGAGAAAACGCCTGCTGAAATAACAAAACAATAATGGAGAAGGATCCTTAATCATCCTTGAAGAAATAGCCCTAGAAATGCTTACCCATCAGCACAAGAAAAAGGACTGAAATGCCTTATTATGGATTTATCTCTATTCTGTTCAGAATTCTGTTGGTTATTGCATCTATAGGACAGAAGAGGCCTTAATCCTTGCAGGATTTTGATTTTTTTTTTCTTTTTTAAAGCATTCTAAGGAAGAATGCAATTATCTTCTCTTGAATGTAACTTACAGCTGGTTTTGTATGTGAAAGTATTAAAACACCCAACTGTATTGCAAAAATATTTTACTTGAAGCAATTTGTGAATACATAATTGGGAGGAAAAGGAATATTCTGGCCCAGTCTATAAAGTATGTGTGTATATATAGTGTCTGTGCCTATTTTACACATGATTTTTACAGATTAAGCCATTTTCAAAGCAGCTGCTTTTTACCTGTTAAATAATAAGAAAACCCAGTTCTTGTAATACAAGTAAGTTTAATTGAACAGTTAAGGGGAAGAGTGGTTTCATATGGTTTATGAAAAGAAGAATATAATCAGTGTATGGGAGATGGTTCTCCTACATGTCATGCTACTTTTCTGTTCAATGACAACATGAAAACTGAGGAATCTTGTTTTCTAGATCAGTGCATCTCATGGTGGGATTTGCTGGTGTCTGATTGTTGAAGTATACATGAGAAAAACATAGATCTATGGATTCTTTACTTGAAAGATTGATCTCCTGATCAGCCTTGGCCTCAGCTGGGACCATTAATGGGTTTTCTGCACCTCACCTAGCCACCTGCTTTTGTGGAAACTGGGAGGGAGTTTGTTATACCACCCTTTGTCAAATTCTGTTTAAAATGGCTTTCCTAGTGGAGGAGAAACAGCTGGTACATGCACAATATAATGGAGAAGCTTTGGGGTGATTTTTTTCATTTCTTAATGTTTATATTCCGCGTGAGCATTTAGCACAGGAATGTTTGTTACATTGAGTTTGCAATTGTGTTCACCTGAATGTTTATCTTGTTAGTGTATTTTGTTGGTCTTGCTTGCTAAAGCAATAGAAGCTTATAGAGGAGTCAGGGAGGTATAAGGTAAGAACAAAGTAGGAACTTTTTGCAGTGCAGGATGTTAAATTCAAAATTAATTTTCCTGCTCAGGAAAATAAAAGTAAAGTTAGTGGGGAATAACAGTGAGGAGCTATTAGTAGTTCAAAAACTAATGACTTCTGAGGTAAAGAGGCAATTTTTTTTTCTTATTTGATTTTTAAGACAAGTAGCTAGCTTCCTCCTCAGTTCTGGGCCTCAAGTGGAGAACTATGCCTAGTTGCTGGCAAGTGTGTGGCTATCTTCACTCCCTTACTTGGAAAAATGAGAGTATGGGGCAGCCTTTTCTAACCTATTTGACCCACAGAAGCACAGGGGAAATAGCCTTGGCCATTTTTTAGGTTTTTTTCCCCTCACAGTTTGTCGTGTCCTACCTCTAACGACAACGGCACTGACAGCCGCTGTGGGCGGACCCCCGGTGGGGCG